GAACAGGTTAAAAGTCGTGACCATTTCATCTGATACACTCATGTTTGGTGACTGTGCACCAGGCCGGGCACTCGAGGGTTAAATCTTCCTGTGTGCTGCTGGTGGACGTTCACGGCTTTGATGCTGCTGTTTAATTTAAAGGTCTGTGATTTTCTTCGTTTCTGCTCCTCCCTGTGAGCGAGGCAGCGCACACACACACAAAGATTTGTGTGTGTGTGTGCGCGTGCATGTTGGGGGAGGGGGGGGCATCTGTGCACACCATGAAAGGCTCAGTAGGGCAGCAGCACAGGGGGCGGAGCCAGATGAAACCATGTCATGCATGCTTGTGCGTGCATGTGTGTTAATGTATTTCCTGTTTTCTCTCTGTTTGTTCACCCCTTGTCTCCTTTCATTCATTTCATTTGTCTCGATCACTCTGCCTCTAGCTCTCTCACACACACACACACACACACACACACACACAGTGTAGTCCCACCTGGCCGCTGTTGTTGAAGGTGTTTGTTTCTGTTTTGTTAGTGTGGAGCGCTTCATGGAGCAGCCTGAGGTCCATACGTAAGTATTACCCCTGCACCCACACACACACGCACACACACACACACACACACATTCCCATGTGACATTGTAAAATAAACAGACACAGCATGATACCCCCGTGTGTGTCTGTAAAAGCACACACACAGAGCCTGCCAGCTGTTGTCAGAACAGAACATCCCAAACAAACTGGGTCAGACAGACCCACAAACACGGTGGGATTGGGACTGAGTCGGAGGATGGTGTTTGTCCACAGCAGCACGCTGAACCCTCGCCTCCTTCACTGACCAGTCTGCATACACCAACTAAAGCAGACCAGTATCGTTAGTGGTATCGTTTATGTTTTCCATACCTACCGAGTGTTTTCCTGGTGTCAGAGTTTTCCGTAGGTTGTTCAGATTTCTTGTCACGTCTGAAATAAACATCAAGGTAATCAGAGTGGAGATATGAGCGTTGGGAAGGTGGAGCGTGGAGGTTTTACTGAACCTTTGAGGCGTCGGCGCAGCCAAACACCAAAGTTTAACTCAGTTTGCGTCTGAATGGGAAGTCTCTGGTTGATATTTTAGTTTGTCGACGGTACA